GTGGGGGGGGTGGGTAAGGGCAGAAGGTGGGGTGGGAACCGGGTGGAGGGGAGCTATGGGGGGGAAAAAAGAGGAACAACTGTAATAATCTGAACAATAAAGATTTAATTTGGGGGAAAAAAAGAATTATCAATGGATGCAAAAACTAATAGGTAAAAGGCTGATGGGAAATTGGGTGTCAGCTTCAGATTACAATGCCAATCACAGGGAGAAAGCATAATTTTGAAGTGGACTAACAGAGCTGTTATCACCTGCACAGCCACCCTTAGGTCACGTATAGGGACAACCATCCAGATACAATGCAATATAAGTAAACAGTAGCACTTACGAAATATTTAGGTTAAGCCAAAAATGCTTAACCTAAAACTCAGCAAGCCCTTACATGTACCTTCCAGTTTACAAGAAACATGAAAACAGAAGAATAAATTAACCCTATGAAAAAGCAATCTAACAAACACAGAATTGAAATATTCCACAGGCCAACTAAGTCTTCCCAAATTCAACATCATGAACAAATAGGGAATGGTGGGCGGGGGGTGGGAATCTATTCTGGATTAAGAGATGTAACAACCAGAGGCAATAGCTAGACCTTCATTAGATCCTCCACATCCACATGCTCACTCGTTAGTGCTCAAGCCTCTGCACCAGGCACTCTTGATCAGAGGGCTTTTTCCTGCCATTATGTCCACAACAGCAGGCTGCCGCCCTCCTCACTCTTCCTGAAGCTTGCTCTGTAGTTCCTTATTGTACTTTCATCCTTGACGTGCTATATACGCGTGTGCTTGCTTATTGCCTGTCTCCAATAAAATGTAAGGTTCCACAAGAATAGGTCCTTTGTCTCTTCCATTCACTATTGTATTCCTAGCACCCAGAACAGTGTTAAGTAAGTGAATAATATTATGCCATTAGATGTAAAACTAAACGTACATTTTTCGTTTCTCCAGAGAATACTGAAACAGAAGGAGTGTCTTCTTTGGTCCTGAAAAGTGTGCGGTAATAATCATGTATCTCTTTTTATGTGTGGAATTACCTCCTTGTAAAAGAAAACAATAAAACAAATCTCTGAGGCTTAAAAGTATTTTGTTCACACTCTATGGTTATGAATCATTTCTCTTTCCTAGTAAGAGAAGCTAAAAATATGAAATAATTATGTAGTCTTAGTTTTCTAAATACAAACATGCCTACTGAGTAATTAAATTGAAATAAGACCAAACTTCATAGCACTTTTCAGTACATGTAGGTATATTTACTTATTTTATCATCTATCACTCTCCTCACCACCCCCTCCTTAGAACACAAGCTCCATTAGAGCAGGACTCTGTCTGTCTTGGTCACTCCTGTATCCCCAACTCTTAGTGCCCGACCCAGAGCAGGCACTCAGAAAAGTGAAATAGTCAGTTTTGCTCAATTTCATGTGAAGTCCAATGTGGTGCACGCATGCCCTGTCTTCTGACAAGGACATTATTGTTATCAAATCACCTCTCGCGGCTGTTCTATCTACAATGTGCCTTCATCCTCCACGCTTTGCTTCGATACATGAAATAAACTTGTAGAAGTGTTAGTTCATGAAACATACGCCTAGAATTTTTTTAACTTAACTAGTAAATGATACCAATGTCATTTTTTTCTTTTTAATCTTTGAAGCCAAAGCTAATTTGGATTTTTGAGATGGCTGCTAGATTTCATTCTCTCCCTTTTATTGAGAACAATGAGAATCTAAAGTACTTTTTTAACAGTTTCTAAGATGTATACATTATATGGAAATTCATTTACTTCAAAAGATGGTATAGGATGTCATATAAACTGGCCAGTGAACTGTGGGTTAAATAATCCCCGTTGGAAATCTTGTGAAAAAGGCAGACAACTTTCTCAATGGGGAAGTTTACGTACAACTCTCCCCACTTTCTCTCACTATCAGCCGCCCCCCCCTACCCCCCCGCTTCTGATTCAAATTTTAAAGTTATCCCTGGAAGGGCACCCATGTTTTGGTATAAGCTTTGCCTGTTGCATGGCCACTCCTAGGGACTGTTTTTAAAAAGTAACCAGACTAATGTTAAGGGGACTGAGGGAGCCTTGGCAAAATGGCAGGGTTGAAGCAGGCCCTGAGGCCGCGACAATAAAAGGTGCTCCTCAGAGCAGCAGGGGCACTTGCAGTGGAGGCCGCCCGCTCCCTCGGCCTCCCCTTGAGACAGACTGCATCCAGGCTGAGATGAGTCTATTTACCCTCTCCCTGGCGGCATGCAAACAGGGTAAGTGAAGGCTTTGCCTGCTCACTCCTCTCCCGCTGGCAGAAGATGAGCAAGGGAGACTAGTGGAGAAGCAACTGGGAAGAGACCCTCCTCTGGCAGAATGGAATGAACTGGGTGCTGCACAGTCTCAAGAATGTAAAAAACTTGCCAGGAATCCCAAAGAAGATAAAGGGGTGGGGCTCACATTTGTCATCATGATTGTGAACATTCTTTGTAAGAAACGATAATAAATCTGGTCACTTGATATGATGTGTGGCAGACAGGCATATTTCTGCAGCAGCTTCTCATGGGTTCTCCATTTTAAAGAGGCTGCAGCTCGCTGTTCAGCAGCCGTGAGTGCTGGAATCAAGTCAGGCAGGGATGGCAACTGAAACGAAAAACACCAAAAGATCCAGCGATAAATAAATCAACTGCAGGATTCCGTCAGATGTGTCAGCTAACAACACACTGAGGAAGGCAATGCTCTTGTTCATTTCAGAACATCGGAGGCATCTCAGTTGTCACAGGGAGATAATAATCTGATTAAATCAAATACTTAAAAAATATCTAAAAATAAAATTTATTAGTTGCTGGAAACAAAACTTTGAAATAGAGACTGGGACTCTCACAACCCTTCTAATTAAAGTAAAGTTTATTCTATTTCACTGTCAGCCAACTTTGACTTTCTAAATTCCTACTCCTTTGTCGTTACAAGTTGTTATTCCTGGAATAATAATTAATGTGAATAAAAACTGAAAATATGAATGTAAACTCCAAGGACTATAAATAAAGCCATGGTAGTGTAAGAATTGTAGAGGAAATTCAAGCTGCTCAGACTCCAACAGGCATTTACTGAGCACCTACTATGTGTCAAGCACTACTTAAATGTTTCCCACACAGCCTTTCACGGACTCTTCACAACTCTGTAGAGAGAGATAGTACTTCACAGCGTTCAGAAACTTTTTGACATAGGGGATTACCTTATTTTCTTGAATACTGCTTTCTCCACCCGTAGACATAAGTTCCAGGATTTCTGGAAGATGATCTATAAGAGCATCTAGTACCTTTTAATAGAGATATTGATTATTCTTGTGGCAATTACAATGTTTTTCTAATCTTAGATTAGTTAATTTCACATGTCAATTCCTACACAGAAACAGTGCTATTTACCAAACAACATTTTGGAGGGTTTTATTTTCTTACTTGCCTTACCTCTTCTTGCTGGAGGGTCTTAGAGACATGATCAACTGCCTTGATCAAACTACCTATCACTATCACACTATCAAACTATACTAACCTATACTGCCTCTTAATATGTTTAAACAGTCTAGATCTGAGACAGCTACACACCAATCTGCTCAAACACATTTGAAAAGCAACCCCGGTGATGGGGAGTTGCACTGTAGCAAGCTAGTATCATTTAGGTGGATAGAATATATTAACTACCACATCAAAATTAAGTATTTCAAAGCCTTCACAAGTATACTGCCCAAGTAATGCTAAGAGAAAAAGATATAAAATGTGATATAACATAGGGTTACAATTGTGTAAAATAAAAACCTTTATATAGAAAAAAATAAAAAAATTTAACAAAATACTAATAGTGACTAGAACTAAAGGTACTCACTCTTTTAAAAGTTTGTCTACTTTTTGGCATTTCCAAAATTTTCCTGAACAAACCAATATATATGTATATAGAGGGCATCCCCCAAAAATGTATACACACTTTGAATAATTATTAATTCCAATGGATTAAATCTGAAAAGAAAGAAACATGAATTGAGCTGTCAGCTTTTAGTAGCATATACATTTTGGGGGGAACACCATATATATATAATTATTTTAACTACATATATTTTAAAACCTAATTTTTATAAAAGACCTTCCCAACTTTCAGTCTCTGCTACAATGGTACATGGACTCCAAGCTTCTGGGGCTGGTCAACTGAAAGGCCATGCAATTCCCAAGAAGTAGGGGGAAGGCATTGATGTATTCAGACTTAACATAAAACAAGTAAAACTCAAAAAGTAAGAAGATATTACCTCCAGTGATTCGTCTTGTAATAATGTTATTAGTTCTTTATGTATTAAATATACTCCAGAATTCAGAAGTTTAGACACCTAAAATGTAGAATAAAGTCTCTCAGATTTGACTCTATTAGACATATAAAGGTTGTAATAACAATTCTTAAAATTACATCCCTGTTAGGTACTTCTAAAATGAGACTAGGTTAAAACATAAATATAACATTAGATTTCTAGAAAAATTAGTTGCATACATGACTAGCTTTATAGTCTGCTAGAACATGCTGCAGTGTGCGAACGTATGAGGGTGAGAAATGAACCTATGGATGGAAGTGCAGGAAACTGAGTGTATCAGAGTCATAACTTTGCTATCACAAGCACCAGTGAGCCCAGGGTGCCTCCCTGCACGGTGGGAAGCCTCAGAGCAGCCATCAGGTCCACCAGGGCATCTCGGGTCTATGGGCATCCATCCCGGCTCAGAGCTTCTGAGAGAGGCAAGTGCTACTGCAGGCCCACGACACAGGTAGAGACAGTGCCTAAGCGAGCAAAAATAAAGGCTTTTCCATCAGAGACTTCAGTCAGCATGCGAGGAGTTGGGACAGTCTAGCCTAAAGTAAGCACTCATATAAATATATTGAATGAATGGATTAACAAATGATAAAAATATAATATTTCTGTAAACGAATTTTATAAACATTCTAAGAAGATAATTGAGAAAAATTTTTAAAAGATTTAGGACTAGACTGTGAAAAAATATAGAGCTTATATTTTCTAATACATCTATAAATAGAAGTGTACAAAATACCAAATAATCATCTAGTTAATAGGTAGAATTAACAACAAATGAATCACTTCTTCAGACTTACTTCATAAAAGCAAATGGCAATAGTGTATCTGACAGGTACTTCAGGGTCATGACAAAGACAAAAGAATGTAGAATAGAGTTCCAATTGGAAATTTTTAGGGTCAACAAAAACAATCATGGCCTGGTGGAGGTGGAAGGAGAGAAAAGCATGCATCAATACATAATACTCATTTCACTTAAATTGAAATCATGTCCTATGAATCATAATTTACTTAGAAATCATATTTGGAAGATCCAAATGTATGCATATAATTCTAATCCTATATAATAAAAGCCCAATATGCAAATTGTCCCCTCATTGGGAGCTCGACTGGGAGTTTGACCACTTGCTATGATGTGTGCTGACCACCAGGGGGTGGCGTGGAACATGGCAGGCATCTGCGATGCGGCACTGTCAGTGGGCAGTGCTGGCAGTGGGCGTCACTGGAGGTGCTGCCGGCCCTGATGGGCCCCGACAAGAGCGGGACACGGTGGGATGGTGGAGCAGGTGAGGGGGTGGCGCCAGGCCAAGGCAGGGTGCCAGGCAGGGCTGTGGGGATGCGAGGGTGGGGGTGCGAGCTGGGCCTCAGCTCATGCCCCCAACCTTGCAGCTCACCCCGAAGGACCCCACCCATGCACGAATTCATGCACTGGGCCTCTAGCTTATACACAGAAGTCAATGTAAATTACACCAATATTTACTAGGTACCTACTATATATACCAGATACAATGCTAAACAGCAGGTGTCAAATATGGCAATATTTTTAATGCTATCTATTCACATAATTTTAAGTAATAATTAAAATGTTTAATCAACACAAATATATAATTTATTACCGGAAGGTTATAAGCACAGTTCTTCCGTACTGAAGTATATTTCTTCTCCTGCTCTAGGATTTGGGGTGGAATCTGGTTTTCATTGTGTCCATTTTCTTGCTGCAAACCTAATGTACAAAGTTTCTTATAAAACTCCAAAAATCTCAAGTGTTGATCTGGAGTAAAAATTCCTAGAGAAATGTAAAACATTTGTTCAACATTTTAATTAAAAATTAAAAAGATAAAAGCAAAGTACAATAAAAATTAGAACCAAATATTTAAATAAATGGTTAGAGATCATAAATAACAACAACAAGGAGGAAAAAGTAACTGTTATTAAGAAATCTAAAGGGTCCACTGTTTCACCTTATGTTGATTTTAATAATATTTTATTTCAATAGCATAAACTATGCAATACAAGAATTATGCCTGCATTAATTTCTGCAGCATATGTCACACTGCAGACCTAACAAGTCACTATAATATTAATAGTGTGGTCATTATTGCTACTTACTTATGGTAAATATTCTAAATTGCCTGCTGAAAAGACATGTATATGTGTCTACAGAGGAGCTTGAAAATTGAATCTGAAAGATGGCAAAATAAACTCAAAATATTTTTTTTCAAAATATTTTTATCAATAAACTGGTTCCACATTCATTAACTATGTTAGGGAGCTAGGAACTCAGTATGAATTCCAATATATTTTTCAACTACCCATGAAAAGCCTACAATCCACATAAAATGTTTTACTATGCTAGATGGTTATAACTTAATGATTACATTATTATAGTAAGCTAAAAACTGACTAATATGTTCAAAGTGCCGAGAGTTATGGGTGTTATTCTACTTTCTAAGCTGAAAGTCTCATATTATACATTAATTATTCAACAGATGATTAATAAGGGTATAATCATGATTAATAAGAGTATAACTATGTACCAATAGTTAATATACCTGAGCTTTTTTTAATCAAATACAAACTAACACATAAAATATTCAGAAATTTAAAAGACTACTCCTTCTTCACTCTGTCACTGTTCTATCAAATCAGTTCTATTAGTAAAAAATGTTATTTCTAAATGTGTTCTAAATTATGCTACCAAAATTCTAAGATCTCTTAAGAGTTTACACACTTAAAGGGTCAATTTTACAACTGAATGGCTGAAGTTTAGTGACAAAGGTAGAAGAAAAAGGAAAAATTATCTATAACCTTGAAATTCTTAGGATACATCATACCGTATAGTCCATGACATAGTTTTCCTAAATGGAAAGATAAGGAAATAAGAATTGATTCATCTGCTTTGAAAGATTTTTCACAAAATGATTTCACTAAGGGAAGTATAGTTTGACTTCTATCATCTGGAAAACAAACCGAAATAAAACATACTTTAGATCCATTGCTCATACTGCACATTTGGAAACTAATACATATACATAAATTCCAGAAAAAAATATTACTATGCTAGCCACACAGTAGTAAAAAATATCTGAAAATAATGAAGATGGCAGTGTATAGTGAAGAAAGGGTCAGAGGAAAGTTGAAATTATCAAAAATTTTAATGCCAGGCTGAGGGAGTTACACTTTATATCATGGGCCTTAGGGAATCTACATTAATAAAAGGGAAACATGCAAATTAACCATCACTCCACCGCTCCGCTACACCCACAAGCCACGCCCACAAGCCAATCAGGAGTGAGTATGCAAATTAACCCAACTAAGATGGCGGCAGCCACGTACCTAGAGTGAGCAGGAGGCTTGGGTTGCCCCCAGCAATGGAGGAAGCCAAGCTTCCCACCTGCCCTGGCCAGCCCTGGGCTCCACTCAAGGCTACAAAGTTTCAATTATACAAGATAAATAAATCCCAGATACCTGCTTCCAGCCCAAAAGGAGAGGCTGGCAGCTTGGGTCGCCAGCGGGTATGGCCAGCCTGAAAATGGCCATCATCCCCTCACCCAGGCTGGCCAGGCACTCCAGCGGAACTCCCCTACCCTGAAGGGGCTGTGGGCAGCATGAAAACAGCCCTCAGCCCCTCACCCAGCCTGGCCACACTCCCATGGGGTGAAGGGTCCCTGCTGGGGGGCTTGGCCAGCCTGCAAACAGCCATCAGCCCCTCACCCAAGCTGGCCAGGCACCCCACTGGGGACTCCCACCCTGAAGGGGGTGTGGCCA